CCCCGGGGAGGCCGCCCCCGCGGGGGGACGCGCGCCCGGACGGCCCCGCCGTGGTCCTGAGCACCAACAGCCCGGCCGCCCTCAAGGTGGGCAAACAGCAGATCATCCCCAGGGGCCTGGCCTCGGAGACCAGGGCCAGCAGGCCTGGCGGCCAGGGCGCCGAGCCGCACCGGAGGCTGGTCAAGGCGCGCAGCATGGTGGAGGGGCTCGGGGCGGCCCTGGGCCCCGCGCAGCCCGCGCCCCCGCCCGACGGCGCCGACGACAGCCCGGGCTCCCTGCGGAGGGGCCTGCGCTCCACCTCCTACCGCAGGGCCGTGGTCAGTGGCCTTGACGTGGACAGCCCGGCCACCTCGAAGAAGAAGAACAGAATGTCCCAGCCTGTCCTGAGAGCCGTGCTGGAGGACAAGGAGAGGTTCTCCAGCCTGGGGAGGACGAAGGTAGGAGTAGGAAGGTGTCGGGTGGGGAGGGGCCCTCTTCTCCCTGAAGGCTGTGGTTGGTGGGTCAGACCTGTGCGCCTCTGTCTCGGCCATTCTGCTGCTGGCCGGCACTGCCCAGGTTAATGCAGCTTTGTGGGGGGAAGCGAAACTCCTACCACTGTTGTATAACTCTCTTACGTTCAGGCAAAATGTGGTGGGCAAATGGAAAAAAATACCGCAAATTAAGTATTGGCTGAGTGAGTCAAACGCTTAGTACAGGAGCTGAAAAGGGGATGGAGAGCAGGCGTCCTCTGTTCTCACGATCTTGGGTCAGCTGTCCTGTGCTGGTTTGCAGGGGTCGCTCAGTGCGTGCTGATCCATCACAGCCGACCCAGGAGAACACTGACTTCCTTTGAGCATGTTGACTGTTTTAATTATTTACATTAGTCATTTAGTTATTGAATTATTTTTTGAGTGGTGATCACATAATAAATGCCATGTAGGTAATATGTGAATTTTGAAATCAATTGCCAGAATCACAGAAGACACACATAGTTTGTCATCTTTGTTGTTGCTTGTTTCTGTCACCACGGCCTCTGGTTGTGTTTATTCCCATTTGGTGCCCACTCATCCTGCAGTGCTTTAGCAAGTTGGTGGCTCAGAACTTCAGATTAGAGTTAAGTGGGTGGTACTGCTCCCTGATAAGGCCTAGGGGCTGCACTTGTTAACAGGCTGCCAAATAGGAGGGGAAGGAACAGGGAAGCTGGAGAGGGGTGTCTTGGAATTTGTGTGCTGTCTTCTCCAGACACAGGACAGACAGCAGCAGGGAGACACTCATTCTGGCACCACATCCTTTCCTGATTAATCGGAGGACTGGAACCAGTCTGTACACATGTCACACACAGCAAGCCTGTCTTATTTTAGATCCTATGGCCTTAAAGAAAAGAAATTACATAACATTTTATGTGTTTTTTTCCCCCAACTCTGCAAGTATAGCAGAGTTCAGTTTAATAGTGAGGTGAGTCATGAATAGTGAAATGAGCTGAACTGCTTCATCTGAGGGTTCCGAGCTGTTTTGACGGGGTGTGGGGACACTGTTTATTTCCCCTGTTGTGAATTGTAGCGTCACATGCGTGAGCTCCTCCCTCCCGGGATCAGCGGCTGCATGCTTTTGGAACCCTAATGAAAGTAACGAAAAGGACTTTTACTTAAAACAGCTGTATTTTCTGTTTGGCTCATTCATACATAGTTTGCTATGCTTTTTCTTTTTTTTTTTGCTTTTCTTGTTTCTTAGAAAACAACGCTGAAAGGACAAGGAGCATTTGATGGTGAAGGTAAGCATGTGGTTTTCCAGACTTTTATTGCTGTTTCAATGTGGAATTTCACTCAGAAGTCGAAATCCAACTGCAGTAGCAAAAACGCTTGAGATGAGAAAAATGTCCAACTTCTTCCCAAATTATACAGCACAAAGCCCTGCACGAAGCTGAACTTTCGTCTCGTGATACCAACAGTCAGTGAAATTGGTGGCATTCTTGTAAGCTGATGACTTGGTCACTGTTCTGGGGTGTTACTTCCTCCCTCTCCTGCTCTGTCCCCCCCTCCCTGGAAACGCAGGAGGAGGAGGAGCAGGCCCCAGCTCTTCAATTTTCAGGGAGTTTGGGATTTAGATCTAAAGTCCTATATCCTTAGGTCCTATTTCCTTTGACTTAAGCTTCTTTTCCGCGTATTTCTGCATTTTAGTATCATTTCTGACCGCCTGTTTCCTTGTCAAGTTTCCATTTTGGGGAAATATAACTCTCCTTGCTGACAGAAACAAATTCCTAAGAATAGTATAGTATTTTTGTTAAGAATCTCAAAAACAAAAGCCGCTTCACCAGGTGTTCAAACCCTAATCAGATTAGTGGACTGTGTGTAAATAGGTGGGTCAGGTGTCAACTGGGAGAACATGAGGATAGCTGCCCCGCCTGCAGCCCTGATGGGCCTGGAGGAGCTGGGTGGAGGTGAGGGTGGTTACCTACTTGCTGTCGTGCTTTGAAATGCTAAGGTTCTTCAACCTTTAAAGAATCATGAAGAAGGGTATGCCTCTCTATAGGTAAGTCTGATGTAAAACCACCCAAAGTTATAAGATTACAAAACATTTCCCTATATAATTTTTATAAAAATCAGTTCCCAGTGGGGCATTTGAACGTGACCAGTTTATAAAAATTCATTCTAGCACCAGTTGTAGGAAACTGTTCTGTATGGAGAAGAAACCCAGATGCAGATTTTAGCTGGTTGGGATAAGTGCCTCTCCCTGGAAGCTCTGAAAGGTCTGGTTGCTTGCCTGCTCTCACACAGCCAGTGCTGGGGCGGAGAGCTGCTTCCTAGCCCAGTTTGCTTCCTCATGTGTCACTTTGTGACTGTGACACACGAGCGTCTTCCTAATATGTGCTTAGATGTTTTGCATCCTCGGGAATTTGCTGTTGACTCTGGGACCTTGGCCTCAGAGGTGTTGAGTGTCTTTCAAGTCCGAGGACAGACCTTCGTCATAACTGGTTTATGTTGATGCCTTTCGTAAGGAGCTGTTTCTCTGCCTCTCGTCTCTTCTCAAATATGATGACCTAGAAATCCCTTTTCATGTGTATGTGCATGAGGCATGCGGGACTCTGACAGTTGGTGACTGACAAGAAGGTAACCCAGGAGGCGGTGTGGTAGAGGGTGAGGGCCTGCCGGCTGCAGCCAGGGACGCGGGTTCCCGTCCTGCTGCTGCTCCTCGGTTGAGTGACGCTGAGCAGGCATCGGAACCTCACTGGGCCTCGGTTTCATCGTGTGTAAAACGAGGCTGACAGCACTGTTGCCCACGCTGTGGTGAGAACGAGTGAGCGGTCATATCAACCATGTGTGCACGTACTTTGTGCCAATAGTAAGTACTTGGGAGGTCACTGCGGAGGTGCGGAGCTCAGTCTTTACCCTCACAATCCACTCGGCGTGTGCGGACAGTCGGAGGACAGGGAGGTCCTCACGGACTCCGGGGACCTGGTCGTGGTATTTACAGAACCCGCAGTAGTTGACGGAGGAGGTGGATGTCGGCTTGCTTCAGTAGCTGGAAGCGCGCTTCAAACCAAAGCCCTGGTCTTCCCCACTGACCCGACTCTCCCGTGGGAACTGAAGACCTAGGGGCGTTCTCACCACCCCCTCTCTGTGGCCCCGCATCCAGTCACTCCGAAGTCCTCTCTGAGTCACGTAGCCCGTCTCCGTGACGGCGCATCGACACCCGGGTGGCACCCGAGTTAGTCCCCGAAGTAGTCGCCGTCTGCCCCTCTATCTGGTGAGATCGTCCCCTGCAGGGGCCCCCATCGCGGGCGGGATGAAATGCAGTCTTCACACTGTGGAGGACGCTCGGGCCTTTTGTCCCTGGGGTAGAATCCAGGTCTTGACCCTTGCCTGCAAAGCTCTGCGTGATGGGGGCTGTCCGGCTCATCTCCCTGACCTCACTGTGCGCCCTCCGACCACCCGGCACCCAGGCTCCAGCAGCCGACCTCCTTGTTCTTCTGGGGGACCGCTTCCTCTCGCCTCAGGGCTTCGCACGGGCTTTCCCCTGTGGCGTCTCAGCTTTCGGATCTCAGATCTTCCCATTAACACCTCTCTGACCCCCAGACCAGGTCACCCCACAGGCGGTCTGTCCTCAGAGCCCTCCGTATGAGTCTCTCAGCTTGTGGGTGTGTGCTTGTGTCAGATCCTGTGTCCTCAGCTCTACACGACTTGCCGTCTCACTTGGAGTGAAAACCAAAGTCCCTTCAGTGGCACTGAGGCCAGGCCTGCCTGGTCAGCCGTCTGCTCACCCCCAGCCTGTCTCCTGTGCTGTCCCCCGCCATCCTATTCCAGCCGCTCAGACCCCCTCACTGCTCTTGAGCAGACTCCTGTCCCAGGGCCTTTGTACTTGCTGTCCCTCTGATGGGATGCGCTCTCCCCAGCTGCACGGGTGCCTTGCTCTCTCACCTCTTTTAGGTCCTTGCTTAAATGTCCCCTTGGTGAGGGCTTCCTGACCCACCCTATTTAAGATCTGCGTGCCCTCGTAGCTGTTGCCCTGTTTCTCTCCGTGACACCTGCCGGCATCTAACAGACTATAGAAGTTACTCATTTATCTGTTGTCATTTTGTCCTCGCTATGGTGTCTGCTCTGTGGAGACCGAGATTTTTATCTTTTCTGTCCACTCTGGTCCTCCCAGGCCTGGCAGTTCATGCATCTAGTAGACATTTTCTAAATATCCATTGAATGAATAAGCAAATGGGTGACTTGGGCTGTTTTTCTCTTGAGGGCATGAGAAGTGTCTTGCTTTCCATTTTGCTCCCAGCCCTTGACACCCTGTAGATGTGCAGTAAGTGTGTTAAGGAGTCAGTGAATGGTGATGGACCTTGAAGGAAAAGTACTGACCGAGTTCAGTTTAACCCAAAAAACAGTGATTTCGCAGGCGTGACTGTCTGTCATGGGAGGTGGACGAGACGCGGAAACTGCTTTGGTTGGCAGTTCACGTAGGGCCCCTCCCTGCCCCTGCAGAGGAATTCAGGACAGAGCTGTGAGAGTGAGGAAATCAGTTTTGGGTAATTCCTCTTCAGTGACAAAATCTCTTTGTCTCTGTTGTTTGTTGAACGAGAGCAAACGTTGTATCGTGTGGGTGTTTGGAACAGGTAGCGTAACGATGGGGGCAATGAGTGACCTGTGGAGTTTGTTTTTCTTGCAGAAAACGCCGTCCTGTATCAGAACTACAAAGAAAAGGCCCTTGACATTGACTCTGACGAGGAGTCGGAGCCCAGAGAGCAGAAGTCGGATGCAAGGATCGTGGTTCAGCCCAAGCCGCTGAGGTCCACGTGGAGCCAGCTCTCCGCGGTGAGTGCCAGCCGCGCCTGTGTCCAGGGGGCGAGAAGCCACGCTGTGGGCAGTACGCCTGGATGTGGTTTTGTTGTTTCTGCCAGTGATCCTGGAACCCGGAGAAAGACTCTTCTTTTCAGGTTGTGAAGAGTTTCCTGAAACTGCAGGCACTGGAGGGAGCGTGGACTGGGACACTTCTGATCAGGAGAACTAGCTTCTGATAAAGTGAAGTGCCTGAGCCCAGTGGACTCTGGACTCTGGACACTCTTTCTGCTCAGTATCTTTTGTTTTTTTTTTTTTTTCCATATAATGTGTATGTAGTGGTGACTTAATGTGTTCTGAACTTTATCATAATTATGGCTCTATATACATATAGGTGTGTGTGTGTGTATGTGTCTGTGCATAATAGGGAGCTCATTACAGTTCTTCCATGGAAATCTCATTTGATGTGGACGCATGTATATCTTTTTGAAGTTGGTTAATGAATGGCACCTGCTTCCATCTCCCTCTGTACATCTTTTGTGTGCCGGTGTCTGACACTTATTTTTGTGTTGATGGGTAATTTCTCCTCTCTTCGTTGAACATCTTTTGTTTCTAGCCATCGTTTCTCTTCCTCCTGACTTCACCGAGTTCACCGCGTGGTGCTTAGTTTCCTTGATGGGAGTGTGGGCCCAGTGTCTGTGGGCATCTGGTGCATCCATCACCAAGTGCAAAGGAACCCCCACGGTTGGCTGGGGCGGTGGAGCCTTGCATGAGAAACAAGCCAGCACGCCTCTGGGAGTCCTTCGGCAACCAGGGAGGGGGAACGATTCCCTCTTGAGCCGAAATTAGCGTTGTTCAGAGTCAGGAATCCGCCAGCCTAAGGAAGGGAGCTGTGTATGTTGGCGCTCACACCCGGGACCATGGAGATGTGTGCGTGTTAGTGATGGGGTGACTTCTGGTCCGGCTCCTCCTCTCCTGCCCTGCATTGGAATTCGGAGTTCTAGAAACTAAGCCCTTCATCCCTGTCTCCCTCCCACCCCTGATTTGGTTCTGAGGAGAATCTGTTCATTTCCAGTGCCTCCAAGGTGTGGCATCCTTAATGTTATGCCAGATTGAAATGCCAATAGAGGCAGGGCCGGGGTGTGGCGAAGTGATGCTGGTGAGCGTGGGCACGGGAGTGGGGGACTGTAGTGATCGGGCCTGGTGTAAGTTGAGCTGCTGCCTCTTAGGTCGGACCAGCCTGGTGTGGCCAGACCTTCGAAAATTTAGAAAAGAGAATACAGAAATCCAGACTTTGGCAAGTATTATTCTAATTCAAGTTTTAAAGAAATGTTGTGTGAGCCCCACACAATATCTGTGGGCCACACTTGGCCCCTGTGCTAACAGTGTCAACTTCTGATATTTTAATGACTCTTGCGTGTGGCGGGGCGGGAACAGCTGTCCACAGAGCCTGCGTGTTGGTGGCCTTATACCCAAGCCTGATGACCTCATGATACGTGCACACTGGAGTGGATACCTGGAAAAGCTGGTGAGAAGGCCCGTAGAGGCTGTGCCGGCCCTCAAGGCTGCTGCTCGCTGGGGGGTGTGGACCGTGGGGTGGCGGATCCTCAGAGGAGAGCTGTGGGTTGTCGAGTTCTCTGTGGCGGCCGCTGCGTGTGTCAGCACAGGCCTGCATCCTGCATCATTCTCTGGACAGAAACGTGTGCTCGTGTCGCTTAGCTCTGATCCACCTCTGCTCTGGCGCTGAGATCAGGCTGCCGTGTTGACGCCGGCTCACGCAGGCTTTCGTTTAGGTTGACAGGCACACGTGTGATTCAGAGAGTACTGCGTATCCTCAGTACTGCTTCAGATGTGGGCACGCGTCCTACTGGCAAAGGATCGGAGGACCGAGGTGCCTTTGTTAGCGAGATGGGAACCGGAAGGCTGCCTGGGGTGCAGGTACAGCCGTAGGGCGGGTCCCCGGGGGAGTTATCTTGGATCCTCACGTTCCCGGAGGCTGTGTGTGTTGACTCTGCTGCCTGGCGGGTCTGCGTCATCAGAGCCGCGTGACTGGACTTTGCCACTTCGCGTTGCTCAGGTACCAGCCTGCATTTTCTTTGTGGCTTTTTGTCTCTTGTCACATTTAAAACAGTTTACCTTAATTTTTTGTTATGAAATATTTCAAACATGCATAAAAATTAAAAAATATGTGTTGTAGATTTCCAGGTCCCCGGCGCCCAGACTGAACAAATGCTAACGTTTTAGCATGTGCACTTCGAGCCTCTGTTTTTTGGACAGATCCAGGAAGCCTCCCGCCTCTGGGGTCCTTTCCCCTTTCTGCCTCCACAGAGGCAGCCACTGTCCTGAAGCTCTCTTCTCTCCTTCCCGTGTGGGTTTTATATCCACCAAAAACATGCAAGCAGCTCTGGCTTTTGAGGTAGTAGATATTTTAACAGCAGAGAGCGGCCTTTACTTTTTCGGAAGCCCAGCAGTTAACATGTCCAGCTTGCAGTTAGCACCCTGAAGAGGAGGCCTCCGGAACTGGGAACAGTGTCAGGACGTTTTGCATACGGGCTCAGCACCCCATTTCTCCGTCCGCCCTCGTGCCCTGATCCCTCGTTGTAGGGACTGCAGGGTTCAGGGCAGGTCTCGGAAAACTTCTGCTTTTCGTATTTTTTTACGTCGTCTCCCCGTGCTTAGCTTTTAATATTCCGATTTAGCTGGTGGCCCCTGTCGAATCTTGCACAAATCACTGTAAGGAAGTGATTCTTTGAGGAAGGCCTGGATCCCAGGAGGAGAGCAGGACAGGGATGTTCTGGCGGAGGGTTGGGTCTCGATATGGCGTCCACCTTGACTCCACACGGCGGGGGGCATGTGATCTCACGTGTGTATTAGCGGTCGTTCATTGTCTCACTTTCTAAAAATCTCTTCTCTTTGTTGCAAACACCTGACTGCCTCCTGGGACGATGAACGTTCCTTGCTGGTGGGCTGTGAGCAGCATTCAGTGTGCAGAGACTCTGGAGGTGCAGCCGTTTGCAGAGGGGTTCCGTGGGGTCTTCAGCCCCCAGTTTGTGGTGTCACTTGTCCCCGTGTGTCTGCGATATGGCTCCTCTGCTGTCACCAGACAACACACAGTGACAGCGGTTCTCCATTTACGGTGCTGGCTGACTGAGGTGTGGTCATGCCGGAGTAAGGGGGGGGATTAGAGCTGGGTGGAGGCCTTGAGTGGGCCCGCATAGGGTCGTGGTGGTCTCAGCTGCCCAGGCTCCTCTAGGAGGGTCCAGTGAGTTGGGGGGACCGTGTTGGCCGTGGTGGCCCTGCCGACAGGTGCTCCATGCAGAGGTGGCGTGTCCTCTGGTGGCCAGGACACCCTGGGGTCCTTGATGTCATAGGGTGGTGACAGCTTGCTCTTCCTTCACTGGGTTGTCGCAGTCAGTCGATCGACTCTCAGCTGGAAATACAGGATTTCTTCGTTCCAGGGAACAGCACTGTGCTGCGCTTCAGGCCGCGGTTCCCAGGTTTTGGCTGGTCGTAAGTGGACGAGATTTGAGGTTTTGACCTGGGAAAGTCATCTTTGACCTCCAGAGATCTGTGCCCAGACAGGACCCCGCGGCACACGGGTGAACCCTGGCGCCTCACCCAGAGCCGCAGCCTGAGGGCTGAGCTGCAGTCTCCAGACCCCTGGGAAAGCGTGTGGGTTTGACGAAGAATGTTGATGGTGTTACCAGTCTGGGATGGAGCAGCGACTGGTTGGGCAGTTGGCGCCGGCTGTGCAGGCAGCCGCGCCCGCAGGCCGGTGCACTCCAGGTGTCCCCAAGGTCCCCGTCTGTGGGATCCCGGAGGTGGTTACAGTGCCGCGGGGATGAAGATGGGTCTCCACTGGAGGCTCTCTGCTCTTCGTCATGACCCTCATCACGTGCGGGGCGTGAACTGAACAATGGCTGTTGTGGAACAGGGTTTGTTTTGTTATATTCAGTGACAGCATTAAGCCACCCTCGCAGCCGGGCCCCGACCCCGTTTGTTTGTTGTGGGGTTTGTTTGTGTCCTTCTATCGCCTTGACAGCCCAGGTTCCTGTGGGAGGGTCCAGGCTGCGGAGGCAGAGCGAGCGTGCGGCGACCTTGTGCTGGGATCCACCCCCAGTCCGGTCGTCCTGGGCCACCCCGTGCTCCTGACTTGTGGCTTGGTCAGTCATCCTCATCTGGGTATTTCTTCACTTTGCTCAGGAATTTCAAACTCTTTATCAGAAGCTGGTTTTATATTTTCAGCCGAGTGTTTCTTCAGCTGTGCTCCGTGTGGCGGGTGGTACAAGGGGAGCTCTCGAGTAGGGCCGCTGTCCTGGAGTCCTGGCTCGGCTTTCAGGCACGTGGTTGGCCCCTGGACGACTTTCTGGAACTGCCAAGTGAGAAAGGACGACTTGAAAAATGGCCATTTTATTACAGGTATAATTTCACTCAGTCAAAAATATAACAGACGCTTTGGAGTCTTAGCAGTTCCATCTGACGGGACTCCTCCTTTTAGGCTTTACCACGTGTTTATGTGAAAGATGTACTATTTTCTGCTAAAAATCAGAGCTTAACAGATGTAATAAACCTGAATATTGTTCTGTTTGCAGGAACGCTTAATGCATTTAGCGGTCATAGAAATTTCCTTCTTTTTCCTTGAATTTTCACACGTCTGAATTAATTTTCAGTTGTTATTCAGTGACTTGCTGCTTAAAATAATCTCTTCAGTCATATAATTTTCCATTTACGTTTTGCAACACAGCAGTCTCGTAAGATTATTTTTTACCTTAGATGGTGGTTAATGTCTTTCGCCATATCTGCCTTTTGTGTTTAAAACACAGAAACACCATTCTCGTTTCTCGTGTTGGGCTTACTCTCGTGCTCGTGGTGTAAACAGTGAGTCGGGGCCTCAGACGCCGTCTCCACACGCTGAAGCTGGGCGGCAGGTCTGCCGGGAGGCTGTGTCTTTGCAAACAGAAGTGGAGGTGTGTGTGCTGGACCTGAGACCCCAGGCAGAGGCCCTCCTCCAGCCAAGAGGGCTGGGCCGGGGCCGG